AAGGTCACGGTGGAGGGCTGCATCACTTTCTGTTGTAGGTTTTAGACACATTACGATGACCTTTTGAAGCTGCAACCTCGTTCAGACATTGAGACACGAAAAGGTAAATTAGAAGTGAACCGTAAAGCATGAACACTGTGTAAAGTGATAATAGGGAGTTGTATCCAAAAAGAGACCCATAGGGCAGGTTGTGCAATTCATAGTTTACCTTAGAAGACAACGAGAATTCACGCATTTGTTCGTAGTCAGCGAAAATTTTTGGATTCAAAAAAAAACAAAACAATAAAATCAAAAGCAATTCCCAAGCCGCTCTAAGTGAGGAAAGAACTTGTCGTGCTTTGCTCTTTGTCAACCAATGGAAATGTACCAGTGTTTGTAAAAACCTTATTACCGCAAAAGTACAAAGCAAATACGAAGTTTATGAAGAAGGTGTTTGGTTAGAGCGATAACTCGGATACATGTCCAGGAAGGGAGTAGTAAACACAAAGGTAAACAAAACAAGTAATTGAGGAAGTGAGACCGTAAATGTCGAACGGAAAAAAATATTTTCAAATTTGAAATGTCAGTCTTTCATGTGATGGAACTCATAGGTGAGGCTTTGGGCACAAGTAGGAAGGAGGTGACAAGACCAGAATGCTTATGGTAGGGAAGGAAATTGAGAAAATCGCACACAAACATCCGTGAAACGTGGAAGGGGAGTGCGCAAATCCGTACATCTGCCTATAATGAGCTACTCCCTCGTGAACTGGTGCAAATGCAGCTTACAAGATAAATAAACAAGTTCTTGCCTTTTGCAAAATTAAATGACTACAGAAAGCTTTTGATCAGATATTATTTGCTGAAATAATCTATGCGTGAGTTTCCCATTTCAAGGAAGGGATGCTAATAACTCCCGGAAATTTGAGGGTAATAACGAAATGAGTTGGGCCACTATCAACCTCTCTTTTCCAAGGCAAACGCCTTACGAGTCACTTCGGAGACGGCATTAAACCCTGCATTGCATTGCCCTATAAGAATGAGAAGGTGATTTCACTAGCTGCGGCTACTTCCAGGTCATAAGCTGGTGCTTGACCTCCAACAAGTGGAGTGAGGGGGTCGTTTGGGGATAACCATTGCTATGTTCGTTGGCCTAGGCATGCAATACACAAATGTCATTTCCCATGCCAGCATAGTCAGCCAGCAAACCGTCAAACATGTGGAGCGCGTTTATGCCGTGTACACAAAAGAAGAGAACAGCAACCAAGAAATTGGTTGCCATCCAATTTTACTGTATGGCCCACGGTACCCACTTGCTTAGGTTTCACCAAGGTGGGTATAAACAAGTACAACCACCATTATTCAGATTAAACATTACTACAACATGGGAAGCTGAAATTACATCCACCAGCGGTAACCGACATTCTATTTTTTTCACGTAGGCTTCAAAATAACGCGAAAGTAGGACAAAGGTCAACAAGAAGCAACGAAATGATTGAATCGTGCATGCCTATCCTAAACACTGTATTTGAGCTGTCGGCGACACAAAACGAGTCTCTCAGGTTAGAATGCGCATACACTAGGCTGTACAGTCCCGGACCACGTCTGTAGCCTCTCAGACCTGCTTCACGCAACTAATGAATCTCCATCTACATTTGTATGAATTCTTACGACTTCGACAAGATTTGGGGCGACACATTGACAGAAAGGGCCTGTAGCACTTGTGGGGTTTGAATCGCAAAACGAGGTCGTTACGCAAGGAAAACTCCTACATCCAAGTCACGATTCCAAGTGATGGCAACAAGAACCGTCAATTTATAGATGTTTAAGAAAAAGGATACTTGGTTAAATTGTGAGTTTAACTTTCTGCTCGTCACTTTCCCACCCAATCAAGATACAGCATTTCTACTTATATAAATACAAGTAAAAATAATTGACACACCGAACACTTTCGTTGTAATAAAAGGGAAAGATGGACATTAAACATCGCCGTTTTGGATGGTCTTTATAGTCAAATCGATGTGTAGAAGGTCCTCAGGGAAGTGATGGGCCTTTGACATCTCCGCAAATTCATCCACTCGTCCATCCGCAATAGCCTGTCTCAAGTCGGCGAAGAAGGCGTAGCACTGTGTGGAATTGTGACTGAAAGACAGCAATCAATGGACATCAGTGGGATTCTTTTGAGCCTGGTTTTAGTCTCGATGTGGTGAAAGGAAAATGAGTTCTTTTACGCCACGCACTGGAGATTGTTACGGGACAATGCTAGGAGAATATCTGGATTCATCCAATGTTTTACGCATTGTTTACGATTGATTCAGCATATCTTCTGCCTAACTCTAAAAGCATTCCAAAGTTACACATTTCACCCCCAACGTTACTATTTCATTGCCTCAACAGACTTCATCTCTCAGCAGAAAACACCTCCTTAATAGTGACAGAGCAAATAAACCACCTTACATCATGAGGAGAATGTGAGCCAGCATCTCTTTCACACTATGCAAGTGTGACACATAGCCCTGATTGTGTCGCTGACATGCAAAGCATGGGCAATCCGGTTGCATCGGTTGTCGGTAAACTTCGGCCTTCAGGTCTTCCGCCTGCAGTGGGAAGCAAATCCAGGCAGAGCTGACCATGTCCTTGCGATATGCGGTGTACAGCCAGGCAATGCCACTACGGGTAAGACGGAAGGGTAGACTGCCGTCGAATAGATCGACGCCACAGAGACAGGCGCGGACCACTTCATCCGGCTGCCAGAGGTTGGTGAGAAAGCGTGGAAGGTGAGGAGGAAAGCGGGAGCAGACAGAGGAGAGGATAGAGAAGACGGTCTCCAAGTGAGATGACCGATCTCCCTCGAGGGATTCGTGGAAGAAGCCATCAAGCACGATGCCTGAAAGCATAGAGAAGGGTAAGGCTAAAGATAGCAGGAGGACTTGAAGTGTCAACACCAGGAATTCATTAGTAATCGCTTTGCATAGCCGATTCCTTTTATTTATAACACAAGTTCATAACGTTTGCTGTAAGGGCGAGGCTAAGAAACATAACAACAGTAAGGGCTAAAGGTCACTATCTGTAGATTTTGTTGGCAGAAGAATACCACATTTGTAGCATGATGATAAGATATGATGATACCTAGGGAATTAAAACTTCGTCCAATGCTAAGGAGCCCTCAATGAATGTTCGAATTGAGGCAATATGCAATGGAGTAGAATAACAGTCGCATGCAGATGCGCTTACAAAATATGCTACTCGATAAGAAGTTATTCCGATTAACACCACACCAGCTGATATCCGGCATTAAAAAAAAGCACTACAATCACCTCAAATATAAGCCAGAGAATACCAAAATGAATCACAGTAATTGATGCACATAAGCTAAGAGAAGGTAACAAATTATCAAACCAGATGCACGACTGAAATCCACGGAAGTAATTCCGCGGAGACGTTGATCAAGGTCATTTCCACCAGCCACAGAGATGAGAGGCGGGATTTTCTGAAGTTTCTGGGGGTAGAATCAAATTTCACTTTCTAAATACCAGGAGTTCATCTTAGTGTGTAAAAGCAGCAGTGGCTAACCTCATTCGATGCCACGATTTCCTCTAGCATAGACGCGTAGGATCTTGTGCGCTGCACCGACTTTTGACACCGCTTCTTTGTTGGTGCTGTTGAATCTGGAAAGGAGGTTTCGTTATCCACCGGCATCTGAAAGGCCACGGGAAGCGCATTGACAACACAATCGGCATACTGCTCCATGGTTACGGGCAAACGACCGCCAACAGCCCATACTTGAATAGATGTTTTATCAACAGCACGAGTCACGGCTGCTTCAGTAGGGTCATTTTGAAAAAGAATGACAGGAATCTTGGAGGTTTTAAGATAAGAAAGGTGAAAAATACCCCTAGACCAGAGTACTGGGCCAAGCCCTTGCCAAACTTTCGGAAAACCTTGAAACGTTCACGTCTGAAAGTAAAAATAAGTTATAAGCCGAACTGTACAGGAAATTTAAGGATGCGAATGTGAGGTTGGGTAAACCATAAATTTGTTTTACAATATCATTGGTGAGAAAAGGGACGGCACCTAAAAGTCAAATAAAACAAGTACAAAATACCAAATTTTGTGTAGAGGAGACAGTTAGGTGTGGTGAAGTTAACATCAGGGTAGTTATCTATTTGACTTATACACCCAATTCTGGGTAAGCCATCACGGCGTGACGGCTTAAATTTCATAATCCTTTAGAAGACGAGGCGTCCTTGAGAGTCGCTAAAAGACAAATCGGTAATAAGGATTTCAGCCCTCATGGATGAGCAAATTAGAAAGCTTGTACAATAAATTTTTAATTGCTACTTCTGTTTAGCCTACGTCTAAATAAATGCTTCATTTGCATCGTGAATATACAAGTTTGCATAGAAATTGAAAAATATGAAGTTAATCAAAAGCATTTTATTCTCAAATTGGTGCATGCATCTGGTGTATGCTAACCAGTGTTTGTGGATTTCCAAAAACATAGGTTTTATGCATTATACTCGCTAGGTTGGAAGATGCTGATAAAACGGGAACATTGACTTCTTTGGCTGCAGCTCATTTCTTTTAAGTCACCTAAATTTGAGAGTTTTCTGGATGGACTTTCATAGCTGGATTTTACTATTTTACGGGTAAAACTGACTTCAGCACGCAGCATAAATGCTCTCTTTTAGGTGCCCCCTTTCATATATTCAAAATCTTTTTTAGGCACCTTCTTATATGTGTCCATAATTCGGGGTTGCACGCTGTGGATAAAAGTACCTGACCAATTTTTTAACTGGAATATATTTGACCTTCTTAGCCTTCTGCCACCTTCTAATCCTTTGGTTCATTCCGGGGAACCCTTATCGGGTCTTTGTATTTGGTCTCAGTGGTAACTCACACTCTCAAAAGTATTTTTTCCTTTTTTTAATTCTTCTTGGCTCGTGAATTCAGCTAGAAATGCCGCGGTAACATTCGTTGCACAGGAGTGGAGCAATTTCAATTGGGAATCTGTTTTATGCATTGTACTTTTTCCACCACTACTGCGATGTTACGTTTATCATTTAGTATTTTGTTCTTAGCTTAGATGGTAAACTTTTTCATTTCGTGATATGCTGACTTGGTCCGCCTTTAGTTTTGCAGTCTCCGTTCGTATAATTTTCTGTTTATTCTAGTCACCGTAACCGATAGGCTAGAAATAATTAAGGCCCTTCTTGACCGTTTTAGGAATGCCATTTGACGGAATGGTTCCGGGGAATTTTGATGACAAGCTTGCTGGCATGAGCAAATCCGAATTAGATGATCTGTTTAATAATGACAACAAAATCCGTAAAATGGTACTGGATACACCAACCGTAAAAAAGCTCGAAGCTGATAAGAGTCGCCTCTGGAAAAGCAACCAACAAAAGGCCATTGAAAACCTTGGTCATGAACCCGCAATGCAAAAGACAAAAGCTGATTTGGTTTCTGCTCACCACAAATTTAACGAGGCCCTCAAGGAGTACAGTAATTATAAAAGCAAATTAGGTGAGTTTAGTGAGTTCTTATTCGTAAGTTGTTGTGCTTATATCAGCGTGCTTTTATGGATATAATGGGGTGCGTATTCAGAGGTTTATTCCGATCTTGTACTTTGATCGCGCCTTGCAACTCAGTCACAAGCAGTTTATCGTCAAGTTTGCCCATAGGAAAGCTCCAGGTTATTGGCTTTTATTTTCCTCTTGCTTGAAGATGAAATTCGTGGCTCCTTCTCGATCCAAACAATGCTAGCCTTGATGAAGGTGGCCAACTCTGAGGAGGACGAAATGTCTGAACAGTTACAGAAGAGTTTTCTCAAGAAACAGATCGGTTTAGAAGAGTTTCTCACCAAAATGCTCGACCTTCGGAAATCCTTTAACCTTCGGCGTATCAAGATTGAAAAGCTAAATGAAATGGAGAACTCGGCAGGGGGACAACATTCACACTCTCAACAACAACCCTGTGCACCCTCCTCCTCCTTGCCCTACCCCTCAGTTGGCCGAAGCCACGGCCTCTATCCCGGCCTGTAAATTGACTTTCCACAACCACTTCTTTCGTTCTCCACTTACCCCAATGATCTATTCAGTATGATTGGCTGCTTCTATCTTGCCGTACAAAAAAATCTCCTTTAACTCATTTGCGTATTCACTTCAACCCTCTTGTTCGTTGCGCTGTTTAGAATAAAAACGGTGGGATGTTTTTCCTTTTTTTTCCTGATTATGAGCATAGGCTTGTCTAAGTGTATGTGGTAGATTTGGGACCTTACTCAAATGAGTGCAGGTCTACCTTTTTCAAGTGATCGGTTTCACGTAGGGGCTATCACCTAGATATGTGCACAATGTCGAGTCGTTGTAATCGAGTAAGTGTTGAGTAGTCGGAAATATGACGCCTTATTCGCAACTTGTTGTACTGGTTGTTGCTAAGTAGCAGCGTTTGGATTGGCTATTCTCGAGTTTGGTGCCGATCTGAAGTTGACCGTCATGCGCACACGCGATCCGCAAAGCAGAAACCTGTGATTTCACCTGACAACCCACCTTTCGGCAATTGCCTCAATCTGTGACTTGTCGCCGTTCTCTGCCTCAAGTTTGTGAGTTACTAATTTTGTATACTGTTTAGAATGTAAAACTACCCCATGATAGGCTTATAAAGTGCTCCAGTGTGGTTAAACTCGATTTCTCTTAATTGACTTACTGTGTTTTTGTCTAATTTTTCAATTATATTAGTGCAGAAAATTTTTTCTGTTTCATTTGTGCTCGTTTTTTATGGATTTGGGAAATAAATAAGGACGACATACGTTCAATATCAAACTCAGTTTCAGAGGACGGGATGCGCTGTGGCGCAGAGAGATTCGGGGCGGTGTTCTTTTCTTTGGATACTTTTTGTATAAACAGCTAATTTTGAGGATTTTTGAGATATTTACGTAATGAATTATTTTTGTGGTCGAACACCTTTGTAATATGGGCCTGTAAATGCTTTCGGCGTAATTTTCCACACTTTTATAGTAAAAACCCGATTTACTGAAGTAGAGGAAAAATGTACTTCCACTGTAGCATTCTGTGTTATTCCTGAAGACGAGAGAAGCCATAATACTAGAATAGAAATGATTTTAGTGATATATAGAAGGACTGAAAGGGCTGCTGACGTGGCCAGGAGGCTCGGACGTAGCATGGCCGTGCCCTTCTCAGTGCCTCCGTAACCAAGCAAGCAGTCACGGTGTTCTACTACAATGATTTTGCTTAAAAAATTTCTCTCATTAGTTGAATTGACGAGCAATTGTGAAATCGGCAACACAATGAGTCGAACAATTATTCAGCTACTCCTACTTCGACCAGTTAAAGTAGGTTAAAATCTTAATAAACGCAGGCAAAAGTAGGTGGTGGTTTCAGTTTGATTCGACATCGGTGGCACTGCTTACTTGGGGTGCTCCTCACCTTCGATTACCATGGATAAGAAGAGTCTATTGTTGGGTCAAAAATTACGGTCCACCCTTGTATTATCTGCCTACCAATTTAAGTCCTCCTAATAATACAACCATCTTTATCGTTCCACTTTAGCATTCGTAGATTAGGTCATAAAAGCTAAAATATACACAGAAAGTGGGTTTTAATTTCATCCGCTGGAATCAAAGCTACAAAAGTAGAAACTGATGCTTCAAAGAGCCACTGGGGGCAGAGTTCATTACTTTATTAATATTGTATTCGTGATTTCGCTTTGTTGGTAGCGTAGCTTCCTGGGTCTCCCTTGAGGACTAAAGAATTCATAATACTGGGATGGAAAATGTATTGCCAATGTACAAAAGAACTGGGGAGTAACTTACATGGTCCGGAGGTCATGCCGCCCAGCGGAAGTACAAAGGCGGGGTCTTAAGAGTCCGGAAGACCAAAATGAATTGTTGGACAAATAAGCAAAGTGCTACTCGGCCCGCTTTAGTCATCGGATTTGCGTGTAATCAAGACGATACTTGGCCGCAACGTCAGTGACACTATCTTGACGATTTTACTGGACCTGGAGTTTTCGCCTGCATGAAAACTGTATTAGAGGGGAAGTAGAAATGTGTATTGCTAGTCGTAAGCGCTAAAGTAGAGCCAGTTAATAAAAAAACAGGTTTAGAAATAGTTTTGTGGGATGAGGATTCGCATCTATTCCACCTTGCTGATTTGTTAGCACTTCAGTGCTGCACAGTCATGCCTATCTGGATTCTCTCCACCCACTAGGCAGGTGGGGGCGGCATCGTGTGTTCACATCATTGTCACCATAACACAGGTAGTGTAGACAGCTCTGTAATGAACTTTTCCTGACAGTTCAGGGCTAATTTCTTTTCAGCTGCTAATAGCATTCCTGTAGAACACGAGACTGTTAGTTACCACAGGTTGACGCTATTTTCAACCTGCTAGGGACCATTCCGGATTCTCCCATCCACAGCATATGCCCTTCCTCTGTCGCGTTAAGGTTTAGCGTCCAGTAATGCAAATCAGAATATTTGGCCTTTGGGATCGGATTTGCTTTCCACTGCCACCAATGCAGCCTCTCGAGTCTTCTCTGACGTCGAAAGAAGACAATACCAGGGCAGTACATATATTAGTGACGCATAGAAGGGCTCGAGGAGGGCGGGAAGAGTACTGTCATTGGCTCGGAGGCCAGGCCACCCAGCGGTGGTACAAAAGCAGAGCTTTAAGTGTCTGCTAAACGAGAGGGAATAGTTAAACAAATCTGGTTTGACTTCAGCTCTAATTTTACAATTTTGACAGGTGATAACAGGACGAGTAAAAAAAAGCGAATTGTAAAAGCATTGTTGTGTAGATCAATCCAGGAACTCGTCTCTGCTTTTTTCATTTATTACTTATCAAATTCTTTCGAAGCCCCGAACATATATTTGGAAGAATCACTTACAGCTTTCTGTTATTGTGATTAAGTTTTGTCATTCTTTTCCCTGGTAGCCTTTTTTTGCTAGTCACGTTTGAGCCAAATTGGAACCCAAGAATTTAAAAAAAGAACGAATGTCCTGGAATGAAAACTGAATTTTTTTCATTGTGGTGTATTCCTCTGCTAATTTTTTATACCTATTTCAGAGCTTTAGCTGAACTGTCTATGAAGGGCCTGCATTATTTCTTAACCAGTGCAGAAGTGCTGGTACTTGTTCGGCTTCCACAGTGCAATGATGCATCTAGGTTTTTTTCACCCACATTAATACCTCACTTATGGAAACAGTCCTTCAATTTATTGCACCATTCAACCTTTTGCCGCTGGTCGAAAGGACTAAGCTGTCCTGACGACCTGTGTGCACTAACTTCGCAATATTTTAAAGTTCTATCCCTTATACATCAATCAAGCATCAATGATCAGGCAAATTACAGGCTGAATGGTGGCTTAAATTGCTGACAAGGCTTTGTCTTTAAAAATATCATGATCTGGGTCTTCATTGATAGAAGTTATTAGTGGGTATGTAGGACCTTGACGCCATTCTAACAACTTACGGATGAGCAGCTGAAAGTCCCATTACAACACTGCACCATGTTTAACGTCTTTTAGTTCGTTCACGAGACACTTCACCACCATCGGTTGTTTTTTTATGCGTGAACTAACACCGCTGTCTCTTGTCTGAATTCACGGTTTACTCTGAGCTGGCTCGCGATATGCGCGCCGGCTACCAGAACAAGCTTGCGCCTGTAAATGAGTATTTTTCATATGATTCAGCCTCCAGCTGAGGAGATTCATTACATCTTTGTGAAATTTAAGCATCAATTTAAATCCTGCAGCTTTTGATTGAAACCGACTGAATAAAAGCTTTCAGAGGCGAACTTGTGGTTGGATCGATGGTGCGATTGGTTAATTGAGTAGGACCAATCAGATTCCCAGACGAAATGCAACCAATGGGTAGAAAGCAATTTTCTTCCACTACGACCTGGTAAAAATCCTCCTTTTTTCGTTTTATATTATCTTTCATTAATTCACCAGACCTTTCAAGTCATAAATGAGTCATACTTTATTTCAGAGACCTATTTTGAGGAGTGGCATTTGCCAATTGCCAATATTTTTTGATCAGATTAATGTGACATTACCCACCTTTATGATTTATAAAACACCAACTAATGCCAAGTGTGCCTACACAGGAAAAGGAACCTATCAAAATCCTCTATTCTTACTAATGGCGGCAAATGATGAAGTGGTTGCATCAGCCGACAAACCACTCGGTGGCCGATGCGTGTAGACATGCGGTGGGAGTCACAAGTGCAGGAATGGAAAATGTCAAATGACTGCTAGAGCTCATTTGAATTAATGTATCATGACTAGATATTTACCGTTGAGCTAATGCTGTCTGTTGTCTACAAAGATACTTACCTGATATTTAACTTCACTTTTTCTTATTTTTACTAACTGACTTGTTGACGTTACAGGTGGGATGAATGAACATTCTTAGGTCCATGAGGCAGACTTTCGAAAGATATTGGCTTATATGAAAAATAAAATGAAATTAAAGGAGTAATGAGGCTCCCAAATTACCACTTCTATTATAATTTAGCGGCGTGCGTCAACAATTAAATTTCGTCTCGAAGAAACCACCCCTATGAAGAGGATCTGGCAAGTGGCAATGTGCCAAGGAATGCAGCCTATGCTTACGAGGTACCTATTAACTACATAATCTTGCTACAAATTTAGTAAAAGGCTCTGTGAGAAATTTACGAGGTGGAATGTAATACTGTGATTGCTTGTTTTACCCTCGGTTTTGGTAAGAGGGAAGTTAAGGCTCCACCATTATACTTCCTCTGGGCGGCACCGCCTCCGGGCCATGGCAGTAGCCGCAACCCCTCTGTGTGTTGTCAGTACATATTCGGTCCTATTCTATGTCTTCTTTCGTCTCTGGGGAAATCTTGGGGTGCTATATTGGTAGCGGCGGAGAGCGAACACGATCCTAGGAGACAGCTACACTGATTTTCATTTCTAAATGCTAAACCTTGACGTGGTGGAAGAAGGACATGGGGTACGGATGGGAGAATCGGTGACAACCTTCAGCAAGAGGGTTGACAATGATGATTACCTCTGGAAACTAACCTGGTTACGCAGTCTGGAGGATTGCTATTAACAACCATCTGTCGTACCTGGACGAAGATGTCAAGGGGGTGAACACGCGATACCGCCCCCACCTCTCTACCAGGTGGATAGAACCTACATAGCCAGTTACGACTGGGTGGCATTGAAGTGGGAACAGTGGCAAAGAGAAATAGACACGAAACCCTATCCCCACGGTACTAATTTTAAACCCCGCCCTACTTTATATGGCTCTGCTTTTGGGCCAGCGTTGAAATATGCAACGGTCTGCACATTCGCCCTTTCCCCAGTGCAGCCATTAAACAAGGCGAAACTCGAGATCCAGTGAAATTGCTAGGACGAATCAATGACGGTGCAGGCAGGTATATTCTTAGTTGCACGCAAATTCGGTTACTAGTGCGGTTGGTTCGTAGGTGTTTATCCTACAGCACCAACTGCGTTGTGATGGCACCAAAGGCGACGCCCAAAAGGAGAGAGGAGCTGTGTCGAATAATTTGGTTGTTTTTTTTTGGCCCACTTAAGGCTAGGCTGCACGGTCTCCGGGCCATGTCAGTAGTCCTCAGCCCTTCTGAACGTCTGGAATACGTATTCAGCCCTAGAATTATGACTTCCTTTGTCTTCAGGGGAAATTTCATTCTCATTTAGCAATTAGTTCCAGGTTACTTGAACGCCTGAGATGACGGACGCTGAAGACTAAGCATAAGGAGCTTCAAGGTTAAGACTTAGAATAAATTGGGTTTCTCATAAAAGAATAATATTTGTTTCCTCATTCATAATGTTGCGTAATATACCCCGGTTGCACGCAATCCAACCTCCACAACTGGGCCCTGAGACCATTCAACTGATCTTAATGGAGCTGTTTCCTGTCTTACTCCTCATAGCGCGTAGAGGTAACTTGGATGCTACGCTAGTGACAGCGGAATGGGATGTCCTGGACAATTCCTGCTCAATGAGACGATTATGGCGACGTTGGAAGAAGACGTGACTAAACGGGTTGACTAAGGAGGAAAGCCTCGTCTATGAAAGCCGAATCGGTCCCCAAGCGGAGCATGAAAGTGGCAGCCGAAGGATTTGAATTCCCATTTCAATATTCTAAGCCTCAATAAATGCATAATTGCATTGACCAGTATGCAGAACCTTCATTGTTTCTCCCCTCTACCCGCGATTTTAAACCCTCTGACGCTGAGAAGGGGATAAATTGGGTGGTAAAAATCTATGCAAAGTGGGGATTTGTGTCCTCTTTAAGGATTGACGGGGTTGTCTCAACTACCAGGTTTCTCCAACTCGGCCGATTGTCACCTAAAGAGCATGTTCAAAACGCATACATTACACATACCTACATTTATAACTATTTAAATGTCCAGAATTCACATTTTACTACTCAAGTATTCGCTTTTGATTGTATATGTCAAAAGAACAACATTCGCGTCACGAGATGAAGCATCACAGGGCTTTTAGGTGTAGAGATGTAATTAACAAACTCCTCAGAGACTTGCCTTTGGTAGATCCTTAAAATTTGTCAATCTAGTGCTTCCTCACACTTTAATGTCTCAGTAATCACCTCCATGTAGAACGAAAATTAACGCAGATTTCATTTCAGAGGGCAGCTCCAAAAGCATAAGTCAGAAGTCACCAGCTGTTTGCGCCTTGCTTTGACTAAACCACCGTTGAGTATGTTGAAAATGGCTGCATAGCTTTTGGAAGCTATGTAGCTAACGTAGCTGCAGCCATTAAATTCCACCATCACTACCTGTAAAACGATACACTGTTGCCAGTCGAGACATGGGCAATTCACTTCGTCCATCGACTTCTAGAGAGGCATGATCTAGGCGGGCAAATGGGGAGCATGTTTTTCTGCAGTCATTTCGCAGAAGCCTCAAGAAAGGGTAGTTCTGTACCGGTAGTACCGCCTCATCGTATTGAAAGGACTTTGACTGCTGAAATGTAGTGTGCGAAGCCGATGCAGTCAACAATAAAATCAAATGACGTTTTACACGGCGGTCCTTAAATAAAAAGAATATTTGTTAATTTTCCAGGGGCGACATATACGTAAGTAGCGAAGTAACAACATAACGATCCCCATCAACACCAACTCGGAATTGACATAGAACATCAAACACCCAATGATCAAGGTATATTCACAACAAACAATTCCCACAACAAATTTAATGATACTGATCAATCATTTTTTTCGTCGTGGCAAAACACTCGTTTGACATGCATCGGCTGAACCAGGAATTGGAGGCTCTCTGTATAAGAGAAGACAATCCAGCTACCTCACAGGATATGAAAAGTGAGAGCTCTTCAATCGAGAAGGGCTCACTGCCCCTTTTCCCAAACTTCTCGATACAATTCATGAGCACTTCCTCATTCTTGGTGAGGACAGCCGAATCAATCCTAGACAGGTTCCCAAAAGACCTGGCAAAGTCGGGTGAGAGACTTGAAAGGAACATTAAAATGGCCGACTCGCCGTAGAGTGGGAGGTCAGTGAAGGGGTTCGAAACAGCCATACAACCCAAGGCACAGGGTCGCCAAATTACGGAAAGAATTAACTTTGAGGCAGAAGAACGAGGCTGATCTGTGAAGAACTTTTCCAATTGGGGCAAGTGTTCCGGAATCGACATAAGAGAGGAGTGCTTGTAGAATTGGAGAGAGACATCGTGACCTCCCAATTTCAGCATCTTGCTGTAGAGGAGAATCGCAAAAGGCGGAGTTCTGGGGTCGCAGTGAAGTGCGAGGTCAACGAAAGTTGGAGGAAGAAAAGACACCAAGTTATTCATGGGAGCAGAGATAGGCGCGGTGGTTGGCTCCTCAACATGTTTGGTTGGTTGAGCAAGAGGTTCTGGAACTATGTTATCCGTGAGCAGCGAAGAAGAGGCATGCCCGCCAGATCTAACGAGACCCATTGGAACGAGGAAGCTATCTAGTAATTGCTCCATTTCTTTAAGACGATGAATCAATTTTGGGTCGTCATCTATTTGGCCCCCAGAAGGCGAGATGAGAGAAGACATCTGATTGGTCGTGGGCGCAGAAGTCGGCTTCTCAATACGTTCGGCTGGTTGAGCAGGGGGCTCTGGAACTTTGCTACCCGTGAGCAAAAATGAGGCATGCTCACCGGATTTAACGAGGCCCATCGGAACGAGAAAGCCATCTAGTAATTGCTCCATTTCTTTAAGACGATGAATCAATTTTGGGTCGTCGTCAATTTGGACTCCAGAGGGTGAGGTGAGAGAAGGCACCAGATTGGTCGAGGGCGCAGAAGTCGGCGCAGCGGTCGGGTTCTCAACATGTTTGGTTGGTTGAGCAGGAGGTTCTGCGACTTTGCTACCCCCGAGCAGTGAAGATGAAGCATGCTCGCCAGATTTAACGGGACTCATCGGAGCAAAGAGGCTGTCCAGTACCTGATCCAGTCCATGCAGAGGGTGAACCACCCTTGAGCAGTCACCAGTATGACCGCCAGGAGGCGGAGCGGGAGAAGGGATCGAATTGGTCATGAGAGTGGAGATCGGCGCCGTAGTTGGCTTTTCAACGCGTTTGGTTGGTTGAGCAGGAGGTTCCGGGACTTTGCTATCCGTGAGTAGTGAAGACGAGATATGATCGCTAGATTTAACGAGGCCCATCGGGACGAGGAAGCCATCCAACATTTGCTCCATTTCCTTAAGACGATGAAGAAACTCCAAGTCGTGATCAGACCGGTTCTCACCCTCCTGCTGTGATTGAAGGTGTTTGCCGAGCTTAGAAACGGGAGCCACCTTTCTGACAATATATTTATCAAGATTCATTTCGTTGGATACCTCAGTATTCAGAGCAGCCTTGGAAGTCTGTTTCTCTGCTCTCTGGTCGGATTCTACATGTTTGCATCCTTGTTGTTGTCCCATGGTCTCTAAGGCCTGACCAAGTTTTGATCTAGCACCCGATTTGTTAACAAGAAAACGGGAGAATTGATCAGTGGGCCCAGTGGTACTTGCCGTTGGAATTGGCTGACCCGCAACGCTCATTTTGTACATATTGTCAGTATGAACTATGTCATCATCGGTGTCCTCAACTACTGGATTAATACGGTACATGGTGAAGCGAACGCGTATGGAGAGGAACGTTCGCAGCAGGCGCCTTAGAAGTGAAAACTTAAAGCTATTTAGTCAACAGAGGAATGTCATATCATTCCTAACTCAAATCAAACAAAAAATTATTTTGTTTATAAATTGTTTTAACTTTTACGTAGCACAGTGACGCCTAAAAATGGTAGAATGTTAAAGTATTTTCCTAGAGGCAAAATTTAAAGTAAGAACATGTCTAATAAAGGCAACTTCTTTGAACAAAATTAGAAGTAATTTTTAGGCAAAAAATCGTTTTCCATTGCTTTTAAGTTTCTTTTAAATAATTAGAACCCACAGTAATATGAAAGAAATCATGTGGCCAAAATGATGAAAATGCAGCATAAGCACAAATTCCAAGATGAGAATCCGAATTTGGCTAACAAGGAGTGGGAAAAAATTGCTAAGATATGTAAAATAGAGAACGATTGGTGATGCAGTCTCGAAAGCATCGGAACACCTGGATAAGGAGGCGCATTTTATAAGGAACGGAAAAGACATGGTTTGGATATTAAAAATGTGGCATGAGTAGTAAAGGCCATAGGAGGCAAATTTTCTTACTTCTAAGAGTACGCTATAATTAAATGGGAAGAGCCTCCCTATGAATGATCAAATTTGTACTTTATTTAAATGTTTAATAGGGCATGCGATCTTTCGAACTGGCCACTTGAAATAGGCTTCTGATGGCTGTTTTGTGTATTGGCGTGTAGCGAAGTCCTGTTGTTGACATCTATTTGCTGTGCTATCACTATTGATACTTACTTCCGGGGGACAAGCATTTACAGTAGTTTTGACCGTAGTATTGTCGGATTCTTCTCCTGTTGGACTAATTTGTAGTACGGATGAATTCATATTGACATTTTGATGGTAGGTGTTGCTTCCACGTGAGCTCCAAGACTCCCGCTGTTTGTGCGGTAGTCGTCTTATTTGGTCTCCAAACACCATTAATGGATTAATTCAGTGGACGCTGGTAAGAGTACGCGGCGGTTTCATGTCTGTCTATGATCATGTAAGGTGTTTACTGCCTTACCCCACGGTGATTATTGTTGTCATTGGGTGTAAGCTCTTCGTTTAGAAGGCATGCAGGTTTCGTTCCATCCGACTGTTGTTGAGTGCCACTAAATATGCCACAGTGGATGGTCTTGCGTACAGCTATTGTACCAGTGCGTAACTTCTTGTAAGTGTGAAGCTTTCTGTTTAGTATTTGCGGTTAGGTTATAATTGATGCTCTGTGCAGTGAAGAGGGTGACAAAACAAGGTTAGTAGATTATTGTTTGTTGTGTTCAATTATAGTGTGCAAATACTAATTTTGAGTAGTGACAGAGAAGTTGTTTGGCAAGGTGATTGTCGTGATGATGGCGGCTATTGGTCCTGAATGAGGTGCCATGCAATAGTGCACTTTTCAAATGTAATTGAGACTGAAATGGTATTGTGGTTGAATGAGAGACAGACCGCAACAATCGTGTTACGGTTATGCTGAAAGTGATCAGTGTCCGAAATTGTCGCTCTGGAACTGCAAGAGAAAAGTGGCCATTTCGCCCTTCGTGTATGTCTATTCGGATTTGGGGATTTCTAGAGGGGACATTCTTGCACAATATTTCAGTGGTTACTTTCAGCAAAACGCATGCCCTATGCCTAGCACTAGGGGGAATTTGCCCATTGCGAGCTGAGGAACTAGATTTCGCCTCACACTTGGGAAGTCAGCTTTTGTAACTGCTATTTTGGCTTTTTCACATTTCTCCTTATAGATCAAGCCATACGCACAGCCTTTAAGGTCCCCATTTTAGTAGAATCTAATCTCTACTCCATGGCGCAGCCTTTATCCACTATACCATTTTAGAGGGAACTTCTCCTTTTTAAACTTCCTTGGTTATGCTGCTGTTTGGAGTCAGCCAAATACCAAGTCAAGTGTAAAATTGTCCGCTGTACTCAATATACCCAAAACTTGATGTACAAGGCTTGCATAAGAGGCAGAACACAGTGTGAGCTGTCTGTGTATTTACATGCCTTGATAAGCGCGCTCAGCAGCCCGGATCTGTGCAGGAAAGCCTTACATCCGTATTATTGCCTTACAGTCAAGTACTCTGTGGCACGATCTGAATCTGTTCACGCAAGGGCGCAGCCTTGTAGTTAGCTGCAGCTCCTGCATCTAGGATGCGGATTTATTGCCCAATGGAGGCCAGACTCGACGTGGCTCGTGTGTTCCCCACAGAAATGACCTGTCTATGGTTACTTCATTCCATAATCCTACTGCCTATCTTGCGGACTGCGTAGCTCTGTTGGGAGGTGAGGGAGTGGGGGGAGTATTGAAATCAAAGCCTTTTTTACGGACAGGATAATTTTGCGTACAGTCGAGTGTACCGTGGATACTCCAGTGATCGCCTTTCAAAATCGACATTGCCCGTGGTAATGAGAAAATGTCATTAGCATGGTGATTGTTTTACTGGTGCGATTTGTCATTTACACGTATTGGTTCGCCATGCTTCATCTTTATGGCATGTTGTTTTGACTGGTAGGATTGATGCTCCACGAAGAAGTCCACAAGCCAGAGGAGCACGTGTAGAAGCAGATATATCAGGATGAGCAGTAACAGATACAGCATTAGAGGATGGTGATAGTGAGGGAGAAGGTGATGCAATTGCGATTGCATGCAAAATTTAAATCAAGTTTTATCGATTCCTCTAATCTTTCAATGAAGCAAATAGCCGATCGAAGAAGTAGTAAATCAGTCAGTCAATTGATGCACCAAATTGGAAGTGTCATTTGAGGCTTGACTCCCTGCTTGAACGCCATACACATAGTGACGATGAGTAATTCTGCGAAAGCTTTGATAGAACTGGAGATGAGGTGGTTATTTGGCCTCATTTGTCTCCACCTTGTCTGTGCGGACGGACACGTCGCCAGCGCATTGGCCAGCCGTATTGCGAGATTGCATTTGGAAAGGCTTAATTTCCGCCTCTGTAGGTACTCTTACATGGAGGACGGATTTGTTTCTTCATCAGTGCCTCTGATCTGCCTTCTTGCAGGAGAATACTCGTCTGTGGCAGGTGGCGGTGGAGAACCTCGATCAGTGGTTGGTGGGTTGTTGTCTCTACCACCACCGTCGCGATCCTCAATTTCAAAGCCATCTCCGTCGCTGTCACTGCCACTGCCGTTGTTGCCGCTGTCTCTGCCAACGCTGACGCGGAAGTCGACAACGACGTCGACACAATAACGGGAAAACGGGAACACATAACAAGGGATGTAAACGAATTACCTGGAAGCAGTCAATAACACATTCGGTGGGACAGTTTTGTCGTTTGAAGTGCCTTCTTCGCGTTACCTTTCCATTCGTTTGAAGTCTAACTTAATCCCATGTTGACAAAATGTTTTGGATATCTGTGATACAAAGTAGTCTGCTACCTGAACCAAATTTATGCGGTTTGCAAAGGCGGAGAAGAGGCGTCCTGTGTAGAATCCTCTGTAGCAATCAAAAATTGGGTAGTATTGTGCCATCAGATCGTAAGTGACGGAAATGTACTGCTTTTAGGGGGTGCATAGCTCTTCGCAGCAGTAAAAGGAAATTACGCCTAGTCATCTCTGACTAGAGCCACTTGTAATTAGAATGGCCTTTGTGCACATTTCAACATTAAATGGATGTACTCATTGGTGGTTTGGCCGAACCGTTTCACTACTTACCTATATCACAATGTTTAGATAAAAATCTCTTCATCCCACAAGACTGTGCTTACTTCGTGTGCATGCAAGTGTATACGTGTTTGTGTGCCCGACTGTGCAAGTGTGAGCTTAAAACGGGATCATAAAAAAACGTCAAATTGGAATTGTTAATTACCCAAAGGGCAGATAACGCTTGCCGCTAAAATCTGCCTACTCGGAATAACTTGATACAAATCGAAGATGCGCAATAAAAGCGACTGAGTCAACGTCAACTTCAGCGGTGGCAGCGCCCACGGCAATAACGGCTGTGACAGTGACAACAATGGAGATAGCTTCGAACTTGATGATCGCGATGGTGGTGGTGGAGACAGCATCCGCCAGCTACTAAATGAAACTCTTAACCATCATCATCCACAGGTGAGTGTTTTCCTACAAGTAAGTGGATCAGAGGCATTAATAGTGCAAGGAATCGGTCTTACATATAAAGTACCCAAAGAGCCAGAAAGTGAGACTTACAATAGGCAATGGCGTGTCACGGGCAGGCAGTGCTTCCGCTTCAATGAAGCAGAGATTAGACGGGGTGCAACAAGCCGGAAAGGAGTGAACAAGAACTTGTAATGGGGTTTCGCTTCTGCTCTACCAAGTGTGCGTGGTTGGCTGACTATTCAGATTGGTGAGAGCCCTTTGAGAAGACTAATATTACACCCAGCAGATCCTCCACTGGCTTGAATAGATAGAGCATAGATGGGGGTGCAACTTCACCATCCAAATCACAGTTTTTGGTGGATTGCACACATGCTTTGAAATAATCTTGGCAAATCTTTGCTGAAACGCCTTACTTCTACTTTACTGGCATAAGCTTGTGTAGAGACGCCTAAAAGATCCATTTTGTTGTTAATCCCGTCGTATCTGATACGTTATAACACTCAAAATACTAGTGTCAATGAATATCCACAGCTACATATGATCCAATGTGGCGTACATGGCAGTGTGATAAAAAGAACAACATAGTGCCACCATGAACACGCTAGTGAAGAGACTGATGAAGCTATTCCGTTTAGAAAGTGTTTTAGCAGGTCAAATATGCATTCCCGAGAGCTTGATAGCAGTGAGTCTCAGATGTTTTGCTAGTGTAGAATAATGTTCCAACGAATATCTTAATCACTGACAACAATAATCACTGCGAAGGGAGGCGATACGGTTTGCAGCTTCCAAGGTCGTGGACGGGTAGGTAAATACCACACCTTCTTATTGCCCCATGCTAAAATAAAATTTCTGTTCCTTATAAAAGCAGGTTAGATGATAACCACACGAATAAAGGGAATCGCTGGGTTTATGCCATATCAACAGTGAACAAAACAACAACCGGGTCTTTCCATCACACAAATATTAGTGCATTGACACATGTAGCAGTCAAAATTGCAATTTAAATAAAAGTAAATGTATGCTCGTTGTAAGTGGCACCGCTAGAGACAGCAAACAGATGACATTGGTAACAATTCGCAACAATGAGAATCCATCGGATAGCCACTTCAAATTGCCACTTCACCATGAGCCACGCATTATTGAGCATTCAAACAACCCTTTAATAACATCTGTTTAGAAAGGGCATTTTAAATATTTAGCTGTCAAAATGCACGCTAAATTTGACTAGCCATAATCTTTTGGCCACATGTTACTGACTAAAGTTATTATAAGCTCAAGGAGAGAAATATGAGGAAAACAGATTCCACACAAAAATTAGTTAACATATTGCAATTCACTCACAATTTAACCCGGTTTGTAGGGTAGACAAACTTAAGTGGCACTGAACATGCCTGAGTAACACCTTTAAAAAAGGGGGATGGAATGAAGTACCAAAGTAGCGCATGGGGGCGTAGATAATCGAGTAACGGCAGAGAGAAGCTGGTCTATCGATGCTTCCACTTGCCTGCATCTAAAGAATTGTGCACATTTATAAAGGTTTGGCTTGATGGCCCAGAATCTGCATCGAAGTTAAGCAGAAATGAAGCAAACTCTTTTGTTCATATACTTTGAAATCTGCCTCCAAGAGGATGCGATTTCCAAGCATTTTTACTAGCCATATGCCAAAACTCGCTGCTTACACATCATAAAGACAAAACTTGTATTACGTTATTACCCTTTTTTTGTTCTCTTTAATTTTTTTCCGCAGCAATTTATACAATGCGCCTTAATTTTTCAACACGGAACTTGCATAAGCGATCCAAAGCACCATAAATTTTTGAAAAATACACGATTTTATGACTTTTTCTTGATTTTTTGAATTTGCGTGATTGCATTTAGAAGTTTGAATTAATAGAATTCAATTTTTGCTTGGCGGGGAATGAAAGTGTTAGTTTTATGTATAGACGAGAATTCCTATTAACGATTCATTTTGACAGCGGGATGGAGATCAATAATAAGGCATGCTTGGTGGCACTTCTAAACGCTATTCTTTGCAGCTACGTATTATGTTCGTGAAAAGTGGTCCGAAGCATGTTACCATTCTCCGGTCCAATTATCCCTCCATCCCTCTCCGGGTAGACTGTCTTTGTAGACTTGCGTAATAGCAAAATGGAATAGGCGAAATTTAGTAAAGTTTAATGCAAGGAATTAAAATAACGCATTGTTTGAATTTCTAAATGCTTGCGACTTTTTGAACTAACCATTTGCAGTGGAGTGTATTCTTGTATTTAGGTGTAGCGGACTAGTATCACTGCGTTTACTCTCTTGTCTGTTAATGGTTTTACTTACTTCCAAATGGCACGCATTTTGCACTTGCGTGATCGTAATATTGTCTGCTTTTTACTGTTGGGCTAATTGGTAGGACGGTTGGACTCATGTTGGCGTTTTGATGGACGACTAGATAGGAGGTGTTGCTTTCGCACGGAGTCGAAGACTTCCTCTGTTCATGCAGCAGTCGTTTTTCTCGGTCTTCAAAATCTTTAATGGATCGTCTTAGTGAATGGTGATAAGAAGACGTAGTGGTTCCATGGTTGCGTATGATCTTGTAAGGTGTTTATTTTATTGCTTTGCTGCATAGTGGTTGTTGTTGCCTTTGGATGCCAGATATTCATTTTGGAGGCATGTAGGAGTGGTTTCCACCAGTCTGTTGTTGGGTAGTACCAAGCATATCACAGAGAATTGCTTTCTTGTATACAGCGATTGCACTGTTGCGCAACGTCTTGTAAATGCCGAACTCACTGTTTAGTTGTCATGGCAAGGCTTTGAGTAATCCTTTGAGAGGTGGATACTGCGGCGAAATAGGGCTTAGTGGCTTATTGCTTGCAATATCTATTTTTAGCAAATTAACACTGGTTGTGAGAAATGGCAGAGAGGTTTTTGGTAGGATGATTGTCGAGATGGTGGTCGTGGTTGTTGGTCCCGAATGAAGTGCCACGCAATAGTGTGACTATCAGATGTCAAGGGGAACGGTGTTAGGTACTACTCGCGGAGGAGTGCAGCTTTGGTATTGCTAGAGCTGATGTCTCTGCATCTCCGATTCAGATGCGTTAGCCAGTGGCAAACAGAATCGACGTGACTATTGTGCTCTCCACTGATCCGACTTATCTATGGTTAATTCATCACACAACCTTGCCGCCTATCCTGTGAGATGCGTAACTCTGTTAGGATTTGCGGAGATGGAGTACATTGAAATCAGAACAGTTCGTATGGAGGACCTAACTGGCAGGAGATTTTTGCGTACGACTAATGGGTATGAGGATATGCCATTAATCTTTATTCTAGGTCGCCATTGTCCATAGTAATAAAAAAAGACATCGACGTGGGAGGTCGTGACGATTGTTTGATTGGTGCAATTGGTCAATGGTCTGTAGCAGTTCGCCAAGCTCCATTGTCCTGCTTTTTGTTTTGATTTTCGGGGAAGATGTTCTATAAGGAAGTCCACAAGCCTCCTGTCACTCAACGCCTGCTTCGCCACTGATGGTGCGCCTGTCCGCGACACCGTATCCACTCTTGATGAGCCCTTCAACAGGAGTAATGCAGAAGAAGAGTTAAACGGATAGATAAGCAGGAGGAAACAGTAGAAGATGAGATAGATGGGAGCGCCTGACCTACCTCCAACAGGTGCGCTAACACGGCGCATAAACTCCTAGTCGCGCCTTCCAGCAGTCGACTTGGCATCTGTTGGTTGAGAAAGTAAATACGGCTGGCGTTGTCGAATGGGACAGGGTTGTATAGTAAATTGGAGGCGGAGGAGGGGGAAAAAGACTACATCCGCCTTCGCCTCTCGGTCTGACCAGGTAGCGTGGGTCGCGGCCAGTGAGGAGCCCCACACCACGGAGAGATTTGTGGCGACAACCTGAGCAAAAGTATTGCGGATTGAGACATTAGTGGAATTGACGAGTAGTCTCTTCCTGTTGATTTAGCTCACCCCTTTTTTTCCATTGTTCTATGGTCAATTTCTACTCCAAAGTAGAATCACTTTGGTTGAATATTCCAATACACAATTTCAACAAAGCGAATTGTACCTTGATTTTGACAATGAGGAGGAGGTAGCTGCCAGCAACACTGGTAATGCTCGGTGTTAGAGAAACAAAATGATCGCGTCGACGTTGACGCCATTGCTACTGAAGCCGGAATCGTCAACTCTGTCATTGTCATTGCAACCAGCGTTGCCCATTCAGGGTGAGCCTCCACATAGAACTGACGTCTTACCCTCCTTTGCTACCCGCTTTTCAAAAAGTAGGAGAACCAGCCACTCTAGTTCAATTGGCTAAGTAGGTAGAGGTGGAGGGGCAGAAGAAGCAGCATCAGGAGAGGTTGAAGGTGATAGAGAGGGGGGAGTTGGTATGAAAGAGGAAATGGAGGAGTTATTTACTGTGGGAACGGTACCACGCCGTAACAGAGAGGAGGAAGGGGTTATGAGTTTTTGCTTCCCTCTACAAATGCATGACCGACCGAAAATTCGAACTGGTAAGGTCGTCTGAGAACATTGACGTCTCATCATTCATTCGCACCCGCTTTCCGCAAAATCCAACATACACTTATCCCATCTCATTAAACTAGGAAATAACTGGAAGAGCGAAAGCACTATCTGGAGCAGATGGCAAGGAGAAGCAAGAGTAGAAGCAGCATCAGGAGAGGTTGGTGATGATGGTGAGGAGGCGGCGAAGAAGGAAGAAATTGAGGAGTTTTGCACACTGGGTACGGCACTGTGATGCAACAGTGAGACGGACATCATCATGGGAAATTTCTTCTTTTCCATCACCGACATGTGGTGCAGGCCGTCTGACAGCACAGATTCGATATCAAGCCTGTCCTCCACTAGCAAGGACAGGTGGAATACAGGTGGAGGAG